ACACATAAAGATGCGACCTTTTCAGTTGCACACAGGAATAAGCAACCTGTTCAGCAAGACAAAGAAAGATGCAACCTTTTCAGTTGGACACAAGAATAGGCAACCTATTCAGATGGACACAGAAAGATGCGACCTGTTCAGTTGGACACAGAAGGATACGACCTGTTCAATTGGACACAGGAATAGACAACCTATTCAGATGGACACAGAAAGATGCGACCGGTTCAGTTGGACACAGAAGGATGCAACCTGTTCAGTTGGACATATAAAGATGCGACCTTTTCAGTTGCACACAGGAATAAGCAACCTGTTCAGCAAGACAAAGAAAGATGCAACCTTTTCAGTTGGACACAAGAATAGGCAACCTATTCAGATGGACACAGAAAGATGCGACCTGTTCAATTGGACACAGAAGGATACGACCTGTTCAATTGGACACAGGAATAAGCAACATGTTTAGTTGGACACAGAAGGATGCAACCTGTTCAGTTGGACACATGAATTGCCAACCTATTCAGTTTGACCCAGAAAGATGCAACCTGTTCAGTTGGACACAGAAAGATGCGACTTGTTCAGTAGGACACAGAAGGATGCAACCTGTTATGTTGGACACAGAAAAATGCGACCTGTTCAGTTGGACACAGAATGATGGAACCAGTTCAGTTGGACACAAGGATAAGCAATATGTTCAGTTGGACACAGAAAGAAGCAACCTGTTTAGTTGGACACAAGAGTAAGCAACCTGTTCAGCTTGACATAGAAAGATGCAACCTGTTCAGTGGGACACAGGAATAAGCAGCCTATTAAATTGGACACAGAAAGATGCAACATGTTCAATTGGGCACAGGAATTTGCAACATATTCAGTTGGACACAGAAAGATGCATCCTGTTAAGTTGGACACAGGAATAGGCAACCTATTAAATTGGACAAAATATGTTCAGTTGGACACAGAAAGATGCAACCTGTTCATTTGGACACAGGAATAAGAAACATGTTCAGTTGGACACAGAAAGATGCAACCTGTTCAGTTGGACACAGAAGGATGCGACCTGTTCAGTTGGACACAGGAATAAGCTACATGTTCAGTTGGACACAGAAATTTGAAATCTGTTCAGTTGGAAACAGGAATTGGCAATCTATTCAGTTGGACACAGAAAGATGCAACCTGTTCATTTGGACACAGGAATAAGAAACATGTTCAGTTGGACACAGAAAGATGCAATCTGTTCAGTTGGACACAGAAGGATGCGACCTGTTCAGTTGGACACAGGAATAAGCTACATGTTCAGTTGGACACAGAAATTTGAAATCTGTTCAGTTGGAAACAGGAATTGGCAATCTATTCAGTTGGACACAGAAAAATGCAACCTGTTCAATTGGACACAGAAATATATAACCAGTTCAGTTGGACACAAGAATAAGCAACATGTTCAGTTGGACACAGAAAGATGCAACCTGTTCAGTTGTTCATAGGAATAACCTCATGCTACGGCAATTGTAGACGACCCTTTAATCCCGAACTACCACAGATAATTCAAGTCCTAAATCTTAAGAAATTGACCAATCACAGCCGAGCATTCTCTTCATAAGCCGTGTTCCAAAATTATTACCAGTACTGCAAATTCTATAGTGCACGTTACGTATATTATATTTTTTCAGTGTTGGCAGTAAATTGGCAGCAATTTCAGAACGCGGCCATACTTGATTGTGAATGGTCAATTTCTTGAATCTTACGTCTTACAATCTTATGCTACGGCCGTTGTAGACGACTCTTGAAGCGTCGTCTACACTGATATTTTAAAGAGACTTAAGGCGTAAGACTTAGAAAATTGACTAATCACAATCAAATATTCTTTTAATACTTGGCTGTAATTGGTCAATTTCTTAAATCTTATGCTTTAAGTCTCCTTAAAATTTCATTGTAGACGACGCTTATTGTACCGTCTATAATATTTTAAGGTGTAAGACTTAAGAAATTGATCAATCACGGTCTAATATTAATAGAATATTCGTTTGCGATTGATCAATTTCATACGTCTTACGCATTAAAATCTCATTGTAGAAGACGCTTAACACGTCATCTACAATGGCAGTAAGATTAATGGATTAAAACAATAACTTAAGGAATTGACCAATCACATTCAAGCATTAAAAGAATACTCGACTGTGATTGGTCAATTTATTGATTTACAGCATTAATTCATTAATTCTACTGCCATTGTAGACGACGCTTTAGGATCGTCCACAGTGGCCGTAGTATAAGATTGTAAGGCGTAGGATTCAAGAAATTGACCAATCACAGTCAAATATTAAGAGAATACTCGATTGTGATTGGTCAATTTCTTGAGTTTTACACCTTACAAACCTATGCTACGGCCATTGTAGACGAACCTTTAATCTCGATTTACAACAGACAATTTAATCCCTAAGCCTTAAGAAATTGACCATTCACAGCCAAGCATTCTCTTCATAGGACATGTTCCGAAATTACTAGTAGTATACTGCAAATTCTATAGTGCACGTTACGTATATTATATATTTTCAGTGTTGGCAGTAAACTGGCAGCAATTTCGGAACACGGCCATACTTGACTGTGATTGGTCAATTTCTTGAGTATTACGCCTTACAACCTTATAGTACGGCCATAGTAGACGACTCTTGAAGCGTCGACTACACTGAGATTTTAAGGAGACTTAAGGCGTAAGACTTAAGAAATTGACCAATCACAATCGAATATTTTCTTAATACTTTATAGTAATTGGTCAATTCCTTAAATCTTACGCCTTAAGTCTCCTTTAAAATTTTATTGTAGACGACGCTTAATGTAGCGTCTATAATAAGATCTTAAGGCGTAAGACTTAAGAAATTGACCAATCACAGTCTAGTATTAAGAGAATATTCGATTGTGATTGGTCAATTTCTTAAGACTTACGCCTTAAAATCTCATTGTAGAAGACACTTAAAGGCCATTCTACAGTGGCCGTAGCATAAGGTTGTAATGCGAAAGACTCAAGAAATTGACCAATCACAGTAAAATATTAAAAGATTACTTGATTGTTATTGGTCAATTTCTTGAGTTTTACGCCATACAACCTTATGCTACGGCCATTGTAGATGTCCCTTTAATCCTGATCTGCAACAGATAATTTAAGCCTTAAGAAATTGACCAATCATAGCCGAGCATTCTCTTCTCAAGAAATTGACCTATCACAGTCAAGTATGGCCGTGTTCCGAAATTATTACCAGTGCTGCAAATTCTATAGCGCACATTACGTATATTATATATTTTCAGTGTTGGCAGTAAACTGGCAGCAATTTCGGAACACGGCCATACTTGATTGTGATAGGTCAATTTCTTGAGTCTTACGCCTTACAACCTTATGCTACGGCCATTGTAGACCCTTGAAGCGTCGTCTACAATGAGATTTTATTGAGACTAAGGCATAAGACTTAAGAAATTGACCAATCACAATTGAATATTCTCTTAATACTTGACTGTGATTGGTCAGTTTCTTAAGTCTACGCCTTAAGTCTCCTTAAAATCTCATTGAGTATGTTTACACGGCAACGTTTAATCAATTTTAGTAACAACCGCTGTTGTAACTACTGATGTTATATGCCGTGTAAACCGTGCTTTACGCCGATGTTATTACACCATTTGTTGTAATGCTACTCCTGCTAAAGAAAAGGAGTAGACTTACAAATCCAGCTTTAAGAAGTCGTGCAAACGCTACGAGAGTTATAACAATCGTATTACCAACCTGAATAATCAAGTGACGAGTACTAGTATACAAAAACTGCCAATAAGTTAAAGTAAATACGTAATTGCTATGTAATTGCTTGTATTGCTCCTTGCGTGAAAACATCACTTTTATGCAGTGATAACTACGATTGTCACTAAACCTGATTAACGTTGCCGTGTAAACGTACTCATTGTAGACGATTAAGGTCTTTGCACGTCCAAAAATTTAGTCGTAACCGTAAGGTCATAAGACAACTGACCAATCACAGTTAATTATTCTTTTATCGCCGAAAGAATACTTAACTACTCAACTGATTTGTCAGTTTTCTTACGACCTTACGGTTACGACTAAAATTTTTGTGCGTGCGAAGGCCTTTAAGCATCTTCTATAATGAGATTTTAAGACGTAAGACTTAAGAAATTGATCAAATAATTGATACGTACTGTACGTGTGTTTGTATTATCGTCTAAATAATCGATTTATTTCTGCGTAACACACACAAAACACACACGCGCGCGCGCAGTATAAATCGATTGTATTATCGTCTAAATAATCGATTTATACTGCGCGCGCGCGCGTGTGTGTTTTGTGTGTGTCACGCAGAAATATTCCCTACATGTATAATAATAATTATATATATGTATATGTATATATACATATATATAATATCCCAGAGAGGCGGGTTCGAATTCAAACTACCGCCGCTAGACCGCAACCTCTGAAACCGGAGGAGATCACCAGATTCTCCTCCTTCACCCGTCTGACTCGAGTAATCGCCTGGTGTCTTCGCTGGCTCCATAGAGGCAAGGATCGACAAGCTGCTGCAGCTACATCAAGTCTCGCTGTTGTCCTCTCTGCTGAGGAGTTGGACGACGCCCACCTGTCTCTAATCCGCGTGATCCAAGCGAGGCATTGGAGCAAGGAAATTAATTCTTTAGTCAAAGGGGAATCTCTAGCAAGGGGGAGCTCTCTACTAAAACTTACTCCCTTTGTAGATCCTCAAGGCATCCTCAGAGTCGGAGGGCGGCTACGACATTCATTGCTGGCTACGACTCGAAGCAGCCTGTGATATTGCCGAGCGACTCACACATGACGAAGCTCATCATTGAAGTGTTTCATCGAAAGACTTTGCATGGCGGAGTGCAATTAACCCTCAGCGCCATCCGACAACTTTATTGAGTTCCTCGTGGTCGGACCTTGGCCGTTCTGCATCGGTGCACCACCTGTGCGATGGAGGGCAACATCAAAGTAGCTAATGGGTGACTTGCCTTCGCGTCGAGTCACTCCCGCAAGACCGTTCCTCCATACTGGCGTCGACTACGCCGGACCGCTGATGCTGAGGACCTCAAAGAGGCGCGGCCATCGCGCATACAAGGGCTACCTCGCAATTTTTGTCTTCATGAGCACAAGGGCCGTCCATCTGGAAGCAGTCTCGGACAATTCTGCAGATGCCTTTCTTGACGCGTTGCAATGGTTCACGGCTCGCCGAGGTCTGTGTCAAAGCATCACAAGCGAGCACTACCTTTGTAGGAGCGGACAGCGGCAACTTCGAGAGTTCTTCACCACTAAGAATCCAGAGCTACGACAGATCGCCGATCAACTAGCAAATGATTGGATTGTTTGGCGCTTCAACCCTCCCTCTGCTCCGCATTTCGGCGGACTCTGGGAGGCAGCAGTGAAATCGGTGAAACACCATCTTCACCGAGTACCAGGCGAGACCTCGTTAACGTACGAGGAACTGCAGACTTACTGCGTGCTTCCTGCACGTTAACTGTGAGTTAACGTGCAGGAAGCAAGCTGCTTGTCCAAGTGGAAGCGTGCTTGAATTCAAAGCCACTCCAGGCCTTGACGGACGACCCGGACGACACTGCGGCGCTGACGCTGGGTCACTTCCTCATCGGAACAGCGCTTAACGCCATGTCAGAGGCCAGCCTCGCAACGGTACCTAGCAACCGCCTCACGAGGTGGCAGATGCTCCAGAGGATGCGCGACCATTTCTGGGAAAGATGGTCGCAGGAGTACATCCACTCCCTCTTGTCTCGACCCAAGTGACAGGTTCCTATAGAGGAGATTCAGCCGGGCCGCCTTTGTCTCATACGAAGTGAGCTCACGCCACCCACAAGCTGGCCTCTCGCCCTGATCGTCGAAGTCCATCCCGGAGCCGACGGCCTCGTTCGTCGTCACCGTCCGCACAACGTCCTCCGAGCTCAAGCATCCCGTCGCCAAGATCGTACTGCTACCGAACTGCAATGTAAACGATGCCGAAACACCCCCATAAACTCAGTTGCGTTTCTTTCCATACGGAAGAATTCTGTTGTATATATATATATATATATATATATATATATATATACAGGGTCTACCAAAAGTGTGGAAACCCCTAAATATCTCGGAAAATATACGTTTTACAGAAAAGTGTTTCCAACAAAAGTTGTAGGGTTTAAGAAGATCTATATACTGATTCTATCAGTTTGACCTTGGATGGCGTCGTCAAGGTCAGGTCAAGGTCACATTGACTTTTTTAAATGACACCCCCTACATTTGATTGCATATTCTTATAGCTTAATTCAAGAGCTTTCCAAAACACTATAATAATGTTCATTTTTATTAAGTACTTTGCGAGTTATGAGGGTTGAATGATAGAGTAGCGCCGGTATTAACATTATCCAAGGTGTACTACATGGAGGTTACTCGCTCGGATTTGCATCTGTTGTGTGCGTGATCCAGCTAACTAAGGCAAGATCGGTCGTGGATCCAGTCAGCAAAAGCAAAGACCCAACCAAATTACAATCGAGCATTTAAAGACCTGGAAAGCAATCGACATAGTAAACAGTAAATAAATTTGTGGATGCTCATTTATCATAATAATTGTTCGAAATGTGTGCGTGTGCGTGCGTGCGGTGCGTGTATACAGAGATCAGGTTAGGTTGCACCAAACGATTGCAAATGTGTTTCAATGTGTTAAAGTAAATGCTGAAAGTGGCTGCCATTTACTTCCTGACAATATGCTAATCTTTGGTAGAATGTAGAAATGACTTTACGATTCGTTTCAAAAGGTATCAAAGCCATTTCATCCCTTATTCGCTGTATCAATTCGTGAATGGTTTTAGGTTTTGTTCTGTAAACCTTACTCTTCAGATATCCCCATAGATAATAATCAAGAGGAGTTAGATCTGGTGACCGAGGTGGCCAATCCTCTCCTCCCTCATTTCCGTTCCTTCTTCCTATCCACCGTAGCGGAAAAGTCTCATTTAAAATACGACGTGGTCCTGCACCAAAATGAGCAGGAGCTCCATCATGCTGAAACCATATTTCTTGGAAATTATTTGGAAAAGTATTCTGTATGGCTGGAATTATTTGATCAACAAGTAATCTCTCATACCTTTGAGCGTTCAAATATTCTTCAAAAAAAAACGGCCCTATTAAATAGCCATCTATTATTCCGCACCATACATTTATTTTTTGTGGATGTTGTGTGTGAGTTTCCCGCACCCAATTCGGATTCTCATCTGACCAGAAACGAAAATTTTGATTATTAACTTCTCCCGTTAAGGTAAAAGTTGCCTCGTCTGTGAAAACAATTTGATAAGGGAAGATGGGCCGGACATCTATTAGTGCCATCATTCTTTCACAGAAATGTATACGACGCTCCTCATCTCCGTTTTGCAATTCTTGAACGTATTGCAATTTATATGGATGGAACTTGTTCTTCTTTAAAATTCTCCAAACCGACATGGGAGCAATATCGTGAGTTTGAGCGACTCTCTGAACACTAGAATTGGGATCTTCAATAAATGTCTGCAGAACATCAAGTTGTTTTTCTTCGTTGGTTGCAGACAATGGTCTTCCTGACTTAGAGCGATTTCTTACGCTACCAGTTTGTCTAAAACGTTCTATTGTTTTTAACACAGTGGACTTATTAATTCGACGGTTCGGATACGTGTCATTAAATAATCGAACGACATCAGAGAACGATCTTTCGTTATCACCCCATCCACGCATCATGAGGATAGTGATTCTTTCACGTTCCGACAAGTCGCCAGCCATTTTTAAAACGTTTAATTTTAATTAATCGTACGTTGTATTTGGACGATAACAATTAATTTCTGCTTGCTCAAAGCTGAAGTTAGAAGGTGCTCGTTCTTTGATAGCTTTATACATTCTTAGTTGAATTTTAAATGCGAGTTAGACTGCATGTAGTGCGTCACATAGCGGTAAATGAAGGAACTAACGAGACGTTTCATACACGTTTTATGGAGCAATTTTTTGGCAATTTGACTTCAGCGAAATATGAGGATATGTTGCGGAATCGATCTTGCCTTAGTTAGCTGGATCACACACACAACAGATGCAAATCCGAGCGAGTAACCTCCATGTAGTACACCTTGGATAATGTTAATACCGGCGCTACTCTATCATTCAACCCTCATAACTCGCAAAGTACTTAATAAAAATGAACATTATTATAGTGTTTTGGAAAGCTCTTGAATTAAGCTATAAGAATATGCAATCAAATGTAGGGGGTGTCATTTAAAAAAGTCAATGTGACCTTGACCTGACCTTGACGACGCCATCCAAGATCAAACTGATAGAATCAGTATATAGATCTTCTTAAACCCTACAACTTTTGTTGGAAACACTTTTCTGTAAAACGTATATTTTCCGAGATATTTAGGGGTTTCCACACTTTTGGTAGACCCTGTATATATATATACAGGGTCTACCAAAAGTGTGGAAACCCCTAAATATCTCGGAAAATATACGTTTTACAGAAAAGTGTTTCCAACAAAAGTTGTAGGGTTTAAGAAGATCTATATACTGATTCTATCAGTTTGATCTTGGATGGCGTCGTCAAGGTCAGGTCAAGGTCACATTGACTTTTTTAAATGACACCCCCTACATTTGATTGCATATTCTTATAGCTTAATTCAAGAGCTTTCCAAAACACTATAATAATGTTCATTTTTATTAAGTACTTTGCGAGTTATGAGGGTTGAATGATAGAGTAGCGCCGGTATTAACATTATCCAAGGTGTACTACATGGAGGTTACTCGCTCGGATTTGCATCTGTTGTGTGTGTGATCCAGCTAACTAAGGCAAGATCGGTCGTGGATCCAGTCAGCAAAAGCAAAGACCCAACCAAATTACAATCGAGCATTTAAAGACCTGGAAAGCAATCGACATAGTAAACAGTAAATAAATTTGTGGATGCTCATTTATCATAATAATTGTTCGAAATGTGTGCGTGTGCGTGCGTGCGGTGCGTGTATACAGAGATCAGGTTAGGTTGCACCAAACGATTGCAAATGTGTTTCAATGTGTTAAAGTAAATGCTGAAAGTGGCTGCCATTTACTTCCTGACAATATGCTAATCTTTGGTAGAATGTAGAAATGACTTTACGATTCGTTTCAAAAGGTATCAAAGCCATTTCATCCCTTATTCGTTGTATCAATTCGTGAATGGTTTTAGGTTTTGTTCTGTAAACCTTACTCTTCAGATATCCCCATAGATAATAATCAAGAGGAGTTAGATCTGATGACCGAGGTGGCCAATCCTCTCCTCCCTCATTTCCGTTCCTTCTTCCTATCCACCGTAGCGGAAAAGTCTCATTTAAAATACGACGTGGTCCTGCACCAAAATGAGCAGGAGCTCCATCATGCTGAAACCATATTTCTTGGAAATTATTTGGAAAAGTATTCTGTATGGCTGGAATTATTTGATCAACAAGTAATCTCTCATACCTTTGAGCGTTCAAATATTCTTCAAAAAAAAACGGCCCTATTAAATAGCCATCTATTATTCCGCACCATACATTTATTTTTTGTGGATGTTGTGTGTGAGTTTCCCGCACCCAATTCGGATTCTCATCTGACCAGAAACGAAAATTTTGATTATTAACTTCTCCCGTTAAGGTAAAAGTTGCCTCGTCTGTGAAAACAATTTGATAAGGGAAGATGGGCCGGACATCTATTAGTGCCATCATTCTTTCACAGAAATGTATACGACGCTCCTCATCTCCGTTTTGCAATTCTTGAACGTATTGCAATTTATATGGATGGAACTTGTTCTTCTTTAAAATTCTCCAAACCGACATGGGAGCAATATCGTGAGTTTGAGCGACTCTCTGAACACTAGAATTGGGATCTTCAATAAATGTCTGCAGAACATCAAGTTGTTTTTCTTCGTTGGTTGCAGACAATGGTCTTCCTGACTTAGAGCGATTTCTTACGCTACCAGTTTGTCTAAAACGTTCTATTGTTTTTAACACAGTGGACTTATTAATTCGACGGTTCGGATACGTGTCATTAAATAATCGAACGACATCAGAGAACGATCTTTCGTTATCACCCCATCCACGCATCATGAGGATAGTGATTCTTTCACGTTCCGACAAGTCGCCAGCCATTTTTAAAACGTTTAATTTTAATTAATCGTACGTTGTATTTGGACGATAACAATTAATTTCTGCTTGCTCAAAGCTGAAGTTAGAAGGTGCTCGTTCTTTGATAGCTTTATACATTCTTAGTTGAATTTTAAATGCGAGTTAGACTGCATGTAGTGCGTCACATAGCGGTAAATGAAGGAACTAACGAGACGTTTCATACACGTTTTATGGAGCAATTTTTTGGCAATTTGACTTCAGCGAAATATGAGGATATGTTGAGGAATCGATCTTGCCTTAGTTAGCTGGATCACACACACAACAGATGCAAATCCGAGCGAGTAACCTCCATGTAGTACACCTTGGATAATGTTAATACCGGCGCTA